CATGCAAGAAAGCTAGACTTCAATGGGGAAAGGGAGCTGTGTTACCCTGCCCTGTGCATGGTAGATCACAACATCCTCACTCAACCATGGGAGAGGCACCTGCTGTGTATTCCCCAAACTCCTTCTCAGGCTGCAAGCCAGACGTGGAAAGAGGTGTTGCTTCTCCCAGAAATTATCTGCACCTCCTTGGCATGCCCACCTTTAATGCCAGAGAACCGATGCTTCCCAGTGTACTATATTCACTAATCTACTCCTATTCATCCCCCCTACTTATTAAGTTGCTAGCCTGGGGTTGGGTAGGTTAGAACAACAGAAAAGCAAGTCATGCGAGAGAAACCTGCCAGATAAAATAGGGCTTACTTTCTCCCTTGTTGCTATGCCACTAAGGCCCCGGATATGGTTACAGCTACCAATCTGGAGAAAGTACTGTTCGAAGGGTAACGCAGTTTAGAACAAGAACACATGCAAATGAATGGCCACAATGGGGGGTTTGTTTGGAGAGACCTATCTAGCGGAGGTCAAAGGTTCTCTTCCATGCAACTGGTACCAGGGTGACTGCAAGTCAATTTCGAAAGTCACAAAAAAAGAAAAAAACCCACCACCACCAGCACAGTGGAGGCATTTTGCAATGGAATGTGAGTGGAAGCGCCCTCGTTTAAGTCTTCAGAAACTGCACCTATAAATGTCGGCAGCACTCTACTTAACATGCAGAGTTATGTAAATGAGGGGCTGAAACCAACTTGCCAACACACCTCAAAGCGATGAGGGCACGAGTCCAGGTTTCAATGTTGAAAGCAAGGCATAGTATGAGTTTCCAGACACAAGCACATGAATGAGATCGCTCCCCCTAAATTTGCATAGCTTGGTCCTGTTTTTTAGAGGACAGCCTGGAGGCAGATCACTGGCTGTAGAGAGCATCACAGAGGTCACAGAGAGGAAGGCAATACTGTGACCCACTTATCATCTCTTCTAATATCTACATTTTATCCCATCCTTTTCCGAAGGTGATGGCAAGAGTAAATGGTAACCAGGCATTTAATACGGCACTGTTTAAAAATATCAGAACCTATTATGGCACGAGTCCTGTATATCTTAAAGAGTTCCTCTGCCTATAAAAGAACTCCTCTACTGTCCTGGACTGGCTGGGTGCAGAGGAATGCGGGGAGGAGCCGGCTGGGGAACTGCCAAGGGAAGAAGGCTCAAAGTCCGGGAAGAGGAGGTGTTTGAAGCTGAAGAGGTAACAGGGCTTAGTGAGTGAGAGGAGTCTATGGCAGAGAGATGTCCAGAACTGGTGGCAGAAGCTGAAGCAGAAGAGGGAGGCCAAGGGGCAAGGATGAGTGCAGCTGGTGAAGAAGCCAGGGCGTCTCCCCCTCCTGCTGCGACAAGCTCCCTTCCTCCCTGAAGAACCAGGAGAGGTCTGAAGAGGGTGCAGTCTAAGATTGCTTGGGGTAAACCCTGGAGAAGAGGGGCCTTTGGCAGCTGTGGGGAGGGGGGGACCTCCAGTCTCCGCAACTGCTTCGCGGGGGCAAGACCTGCTGGAGATGTGTTGCTGTGCTCGTTAGTTTGGACACTCTTGTGCAGATCCTGTTGTTGTTGTTTCTAATAAAGAGTTAACTCCACTAACTGTGATTTCCCACTAGCTCACTCCTGGCATCTACCTACTCGCTGGGATAAAGGTTTCTGCTCCTTGATAAGGGAGATGGTGCCATCTGTAGCAAAGACCGGTTCAGTGCATTTTACGCACCCTCACTCTCCACTGGGATGGGGAACCACACGTCCAGGGCTCCAATGCGGCTACCCAGGCCTCCCTGTTCTGGCCCTCGGAATCCTCCCGGGCCACACCCCTTAACACTGCACCCTCCTTGGGTGTTTTTGCCTGTCTAGACTGTGTCCTTGACTTTTGACAAGGCTTTGTGCTTGCCTGGATAGAGATCAGAGAGGGATGCATAGAAACTAATCTACAATTCAAAAGGTTAAAATGATCCGATGTTACTCCACTCACTTTTCTCAGTCCCCGCCCAAAAGAGTATGTGGCAGCTCACCTTGGCCTCTCCCCAGGAGGCACACCTGCCCCACATAATTCTCAAGGGGCAGTTTTAAGTTGCTAAGGCCAGAACACTGGCACACCCTTGGGTGAGTGTAAAAGCCTGCCCTGCATCCAAACTGAGGTTCCTTCTGAACCATCCAACCCACAGGTCTTTGGACAGGTTACGGCCAGATTAAGCTCACCGGGGTCAAAGAGAGGTGTTAAAGATTTCCGAGAAGAGTTATGGCACAAACACCTTTCCAGGCCAATATTTTGCAAGCTAAGCTCCTTATTTGTAGGCAACATTTCGCAAACGAAGCTCTGCCTTCTACTGTACGCCTCCATATATATTTTTTGATGGCTTTAAATTATGCAGCAAAAGCCGCTGAACATTCACTCATTGTGGATAATCTGTCTGAGAGATCTGCAGTTAATTGGGAGACGTGTCTTGCATCTTAAGATAAAGTCTTCAACACTACTGAGAGCTGCCCGTCACTCACTTCCAACTTAGATCAATCCCTTTTGATAATCACTATCCCGTATGCTATGTATGTCACACTCTAAGGTTAACATTACAAATGCTCTGTGTAGACATCCTTGAGTCAATGTAAATAAGTTAATTTGTTCAGATTTCCCACCTTATCCTGAGGGTTCAAAACTAAATTGGTGCTTCTAAGCAACACTGTGTGAGGTAGTGTTAGGTAAGAAATGTGGCTTGCCCAAGGCCACACAGCAACTTGGCCCCTTTTCTTCTGCATATGTGAATGAGACATGATCTACTGTTCTACCTGGGCTTCTTAAAAAAAAGACGAGGACTTAGATTAGGCTTTGCACCTGCCCTGCAGTCTGCTGCTCTGCTAGCTGAGATATCAAACATATGGAACATCTAAACTGAAATCTAATTCTAAGCATTACTGTACTCCTATTGCAGAAGCAACAGCTTCAAACCATCAAAACACCAGGAGACATTGGTATATGTATTATTTGCTGAGTAATGTGAACTTCAAGAGCCGAGTCAACTTTGGAAGAAGATGGACTTCGGTACTGGAAGATCAACATTATTGCGACTTTAAAAGTGTGGCGAGTCAGTTGACGTTTCAAGGATAGCTGAAATAGTTGGCTTTTGAACAGGGATTTGCAATGACCTGGGGGGAACCTCAGAAGAAGCAGAGCGGCTCAATAGTGTGCTAAAGGTAAGGCATAGAACCACAAAAGGCCAGGAATGAGTACAAAAACGTGTGCCCAGTAGTGTCCTTAGGGTATGGTGAATGGGGGTGATCGCCCCAGTCCCCACACTTAGGGAGGTCCTGCACAGGTTCCCCTCTTACTCTTAGGAAGGTGGGGGGTCCTTCTCCGAGCGAGGCATTCCCGAGGTAGCCCAGACCAGTGCTTGTGTCACCGCCACTTCAAAGTTGCTTTCAACATCACTTTCTCATAAATGAACGCTGGGCTTTCCTTTGAAGCCTGGAACAAACTAGCCTACCCACAAATACAGCAGAGAGCTAAATCCTTTAGGATTGCCAAATGCACACCTGGGGAGGCAATAATGGGATGGCTGTATTGGAAAGTAGGGGGGGGGGTAATTTAGTGGAGTGCAACATGTAGCAGAATCTATTGCCAGGTAGCTGGATGTGCAGCTGGTGATATCGGCCTTGACCAGAAGCCAGGGTGGATAAAAATAAATGATTTTAAAAAAAAAATCAATCCAAAAAATCGGAATTTTAAAATTTAAATCGGATTTTTAAAATTTAAATTGGATTTTTAAAATACATGCTTTTGGAGGAAAAATCTTTCTAAAGATAGTTTTCTATTTAAGTTACATTCTAGTTCAAAGACTATTCATCAGGAAATAAGGATTTGTTTTAAGTTTTTCATCTGTGCTAAAACTCAGTCTAAGTTTTTTTTAAATAAGAAATGTTTAACCATATCAGTTAACAAACATGTATACATATGCTATAATGTTATTGTTTTAGTTAAATAAATTGTTTAAATTGTTAAGGAAATGATTATTTTTCTCCTTCCAATAAAGTACAGCAGAAAAGTTGTCCAAATATAAATAGTTAACTTATTAAACCTCACAATAATTTCATAATTATCTATGTATTTCTAATAGTATAACCAAATCAGTAATTTTTGATATAACGGTAAAACCTACTCTGAAAATTTATTATTCCAAAAATGAAACCTTCATCTCGTTGTAAATATTAAGATTATACCAGCAAGAATGAGCCTTTATGTAATTTAAAAAAAAATTAAATCAAGTTTCACTGACTAGTGATTTAAATCGTGATTTAAATCAATTTGATTTAAATCAAATCCACCCTGCCAGAAGTTAAAAGTTTTGCAAGTCCTCTAAGGATGAAAGGAAAAAAAGGAAAAGGGAAGGCACAGAAAGCAGAAAAATTAAGCTAACTCTTAGGAAATACAAACACACCAATAATGGGATCAGTTAATTTCTTCATATGATACCTACAAACCTGCCTGATTCAGTGATAGTTATAGTCCCTTCTAACTCCCAACCCCACCATACCAGCCTTGTAGGGTTTGGATATTCCTTCCTGAACTAGGGTTTTGTTGAATGATACTTTTGACTTGAAACCGATCCCTAAACCACTGCAGCATGGCGATTGGCTGGCCCACAGGGAGGCAAACTGGGTTGGGTGGCTGGATGATGGGGTTACTTCTCACGTCAGCATGGCACCTCCCTTGGAGCCAAGACACTGGTATGGAAAGTAACCGCATGATCCACTCAACCCGCATGGCTCCCGGTTACACTGATGTGGATTGATGGTTCCAACACAGGAGTCGGTTACTGAGAACCAGTGGCTTGTATGCCGTGGTCTCTGCTTGCCTCTTGAAGGGGTGGGTACAGCAAAATCAGAGAACAACTCCAGAGGGCCAACTTGTCCTGCTGTTTCATGGATAACAGAGGATGCAAGATGGCGGCCGTTCATGGTTATGCAATTCCACTTACCAATTTGTAACAATACTGGTGTCACCAAAGCTGTCTCCATGGCGTAACAGAATTCTCTGCCAAACATCACGGCCCCGTGCATCACCCAGAGACGTACAGGTATCCGGTCTATGGATCCTTCGCTTATGGTCTCTTCCTTACTCTCATTCTCGTTTTCCGGTTTCTGAAGCTGAACCACGGGTAGCTCTTGAACTTGCATAGATTCCGAGTCAGCATTCTGGGGAGCCATTTTCATTACCATAAAAAATATATATAATATATATATTTATATATTTATTTATTTATTCTACCTATATAAATAACACTATCATCTCTAACGATAAGTTACGGTGTCTTCTCTTTCTGATGGCGTCGCGTTCCTCGTGCAAGCAATATTTGTAATTCCCCTCGTTACGAACAGGTTCCGTCATCAATTTCGTGTGTAGGCGTTGAAACATTCAGAGGAACAAAAAGCTATATTTGGTAGGAATTTCAACATATGGCTTGCTGGGCTTGAGTTTTGCTTACTGTGAACTAGAGTTAAAAATCCATAATTGCCATTCAGTTAATACCAGTTTCATAATTATTATTGAAGAGGTGCTGAAGTTGTTTTGCTTGCTACACAAAGGTGGAAAGGTGACACAAACAGCTGCTCCACTGGTAATCCCCATCGAGTGGCTGATTAATCTGCAAAGAAGGACAAAAGGCAAGTCACCAGGGTGGATAAATATCAATGGTTTCTATTTTTTAAAAAATAAATAAATTGGATTTTTAAAATTTAAATTGGATTTTTAAAATTTAAATTGGATTTTTAAAATTTAAATTGGATTTTTAAAATTTAAATTGGATTTTTAAAATTTAAATTGGATTTTTAAAATTTACATTGGATTTTTAAAATAAAATGCTTTTGGAGGAAAAATCTTTCTATAGATAGTTTTCTATTTAAGTTACACTATAGTCCAAAGGCTATTCATCAGGAAATAAGGATTTGTTTTAAGCTTTTCATGTGTGCTAAAACTCAGCCTAAGTTTCTTATTAAAAAATGTGCTTAACCACATCAGTTAAGAAACATTAATACGTATGCTGTAATGTTATTGTTTTAGTTAAAATTGTTTTAATTGTTATTAAGGAAATGATTATTTTTCTCCTTCCAATAAAGTACAGCAGAAAAGTTGTCCAAATATAAACAGTTAACTTATTAAACCTCACAATAATTTCATAATTATCTGTCTATTTATTTCTCATAGTACAACCAAATCAGTAATTTTTGATATAACTGTAAAAACTACTCTGAAAATTTATTATTCCAAAAATGAAACCTTCATCTGGCTGTAAATATTAAGATTATACCAGCAAGAATGAGTCTTTCAGTTAAAAAATTGATTTAAATCAAGTTTTACTGACTAGTGATTTAAATCGATTTGATTTAAATCAAATCCACTCTGCAAGTCACAGACCATCAGAGCACCTTGAGACGAGCTACCGTATTTTTTCCTCTATAAGACTCACTTTTTCCCTCCTAAAAAGTAAGGGGAAATGTGTGTGCGTCTTATGGAGCGAATGCAGGCTGCGCAGCTATCCCAGAAGCCAGAACAGCAAGAGGGATTGCTGCTTTCACTGCGCAGCGATCCCTCTTGCTGTTCTGGCTTCTGAGATTCAGAATATTTTTTTTCTTGTTTTCCTCCTCCAAAAACTAGGTGTGTCTTGTGGTCTGGTGCGTCTTATAGAGCGGAAAATATGGCACATCTCCTCTCCCTGTTCTAGGAATGTAAATGAACTCAGATCAAGGCCTCTTCCACCACGCTTATAGACATGTCCCCAAATTATGCTCTCAGTGTGAACACATAGCTCCATGGAATCTATGGCTCCATGTTAAGTGACTTTTATTACATTATTTAGTACATTTATATTTTCTTCAAGGAATTCAAGGACCCAGACCTACTAAGCTTCAGCAAGGTGGATCCAACAGATGTCCTCAACTTTGTCAAGCATCTTGAGGCAGCTGAAAGGGCTGTGGCTGTTCAATTCTCCTGATCAGGCTGTACCCAATTACAGTTCAAAAAAGCTTCTGTAACTGAGAACAAGTACTCAAATATGCCTATTTCCTCCACCCTCTCGATCCACCTTCTTTTTGTGTCATTTTTTAAAGGCTAAGCCTGAGGGCAGAGACGGCCTTTTTTAAAAAGCAATTTTAAAAAGCAATTTGTAAGTTGATATCTGGGAGTAAACAACCATCAAACATAACACTTGCTAGTCCTGGTAAGGATCATAGTTGCGCTGGTTGTTAATTATATATCAGTATCGTTGTGCAGACTTCTAGGATGCAAGTAGCATACACCGGGGTTGTCCAGAAAGGGTAGGTTTGAGAGCTCAAATCTAGCTGTTCATTTAACTATATGATTTGCTTAAAGAACAAATGATAGCTTTCAGTGACTAAAGCGTACAGCCCTAATTTAGGACGTCAACACTGTTTACAGTGAGCTAATGCCAATCTGAGTTATTTAATCATTCTCTGCTCTGTCCAATTTGCATCTAATTCTGCACAGATTATTATGCACCAATATACATGCATCAAAGGAAGCACTGTGGACTGCAAGAAGGTGAAATTATGATAACATTTCCATGTTTCAGTTCCCCCCACCACTTTCTGGAAATTCAATGCTGGGACTGTTATCTCCATCCATTATCAGTGGATCACAAATGACAACAATGGTTTATCTTTCTAGGTCAGAAAGATGCACAAACATGCAAGTTCAGGCCTATATTCTCCGCAACGATGATTTCAAAGATATGAAATGATCTGGCAGATTCCTTAGTCATAAACACTCACGATACTTTATGCAGATATGTTCTGCTGTTGCTGACCTTGTTTGGCAGTTGTGCTCGGTACGAGTCTCCTCCACAACAAACAAGATGGGAGCCCAACAAGTGAAATGTGCTATTGCACAACCGTTAGAGACTTTTAGAAACCGGGGAAGAAGAGTCCTCGACTGGAGATGCCCATTTATTAGCTCAATTATTCCACATTGATCTAGCCGTACATCAAAGCTGCATGCATTGCTGGTGGGGATGTGCTGGTAAGGAAACCCAGCTCACATGCAAACCAAACAGGCAATCACATTAAACAGGAGTAAATGAATGGCAAAAGGGAGACTTCACTGGGATGTGAATGCAGATCCTTGTGGACAAATATTTCAGCTTCTGTTATTCAAGTGTGGGGCTTATCACAGGGCTGGCCTATAGCAGTTCAATAAACCTGCAACTCTGACCTAATTTTCAACAGAAACTGACACTGTGAATTGTTTTCTATTAAAAATAAAAATCTGCTCCTCTAACAAGAAATGATGCCAAATTATGTGCTTGCTTTTTAAATCACTTGCAAAACGCAAACCTGGTTATGCATAGGTAGGGTTGCCTTTTTTCAAAAAGTGAAAACCCAGAAAGGAAAATTGTTGAGCTTTGAGCTTCTTTGAGGACGAAGTTGCTGACCTTTTTTTTGCAAAACCGACACTGCCATACATACGGATTTTCCAGGATATTTCGCCAAATTCTGCATGGACACGGCAGCTACAATATTCCAGATATTTCAGGGAAATTGTCATGCTCTGTGTTCAGGATCTAAAGAGCTACAGGTTAAGGCTGCTCCTTCTCAAAAGCAGACCTCCAGGCCACATCACAAGCCACTTTTGAAGTTCCCTCGGTTTCAAAATCAGCTTGCCATGCAGCACTGTAGGCTGCTTGTTGAAAGCAGGAATCAAATGTCCGCAGAACTAGCAGCATGATTATTCAGACATGCACAATTCTACTACTGTTCCATAATAGTAACTGGACTTGTTGCAACTATTGGCAGCAATGATTTAAAAATGAAAAAAGAGAGCTAATAGTGGCCACCAAGATACCAATGGCTAGATTACTTAAATACAGTGGTACCTCGCAAGATGAATGCCTCGCAAGACAAAAAACTCGCTAAACGAAAGGTTTTTTGTTTTTTGAGCTGCTTCGCAAGACGATTTTCCCTATGGGCTTGCTTCGCAAGACGGAAACGTCTTGCAAGTTTGTTTCCTTTTTCTTAACACCGTTAATACAGTTGCGACTTGACTTTGAGGAGCAACTCATAGAACGCGGTGTGGTAGCCTTTTTTGAGGTTTTTAAAGACTTTGGTGATTTTTGAAGCTTTTCCAAAACTTTCCCGACACCGTGCTTCGCAAGATGAAAAAAATCGCAAGACGACAAAACTCGCGGAACGAATTAATTTCGTCTTGCGAAGCACCACTGTATGTAGAAGAGAATCACTGTTGTAATAATTGGTGTAGGCGTTGAGTTGTAGTGCCTTGATAGAAATACTAACTAATGCATAAAGACAGGGTCCCTTCCAACTCTAGAATTGTATGATATGAAGTTGAAACAAAAGAACTAACTTACACCTTCTGAATATAAAAAGTGCTGATAAGAGAAGCATCAGTCCAAAATGAGTAACCGCGCGCTGAATTTCAAACTCCTACATTTCAGGAACGGATGAACACAGCAAGTTTTGTCCAACAACGATCTAAATCCTATGGGAATGAGCTCACACAACCTAATAAGATCCAGGTTGTTGTTTTCTAACTTTGCTAGCAATAAGATCTCCTGCAAGGCTGGCACAAGGCAAGGCGTGTGAAGTGATACTCCAAGTTCTGCTCTATTTAGGCCGAGGCCTGAATACAATCCTCATTCATACAAGTGGTGGCTGGCTAGGCATACCAATGACGACGTTGCTTGTATGGAACCTCCATGCTTAAGTGACGGCATGGCAGTGAATCCAAGACGTCCAGGGGAAGAAAGTCACAGAATGCGCCCATGTCTTTACACCCTGTTCGTGGGCTTCGCCAAGGCATCTAACTGGTCACTATGGGAAGCAGGATGCTGAAAAAGATGGACCTTTGGTCTGATCCTGCGGGACTCCTAATGAGTGTGGATCACTATAGACATTCCAGCAGGATCCTGACTGAGTGAACAGTTTGGTACTCAGAGACAAATAGGAGTGTGATTAGTCCATCCATCAAGGCAAGGCAAGTGGCTGATCTGCACCTAACCGGACAAGCCCAAGTGGCTGGAATGAAAAGTTGCATTTTGAAGGAAAACGGGGTTGTATGCTAACACCAAACACATGAAGCATCATGGATGAATTGCCTCCACAGGATCTCACTGGGCCTTGGGGAGCACTTGTAAATGATGACCCATTTTCAATATTCCTAAGTTAGATTGCAACACCCTTTGCCTTCATGCCCATCAGAGTCTTGCTTCTCTAGCGTTTTGCAATGGCCTGGAAGGGCAATAAAACTTTGGCTGCAACTGTAGTATCGTGTCTGTTCACATCCCCTAAGATAAGGAAGACATTGACTTTTCATGATCTGTCTTGCTGCCAGGCAAAGGTTAGCAGGTTTAATTATACCTTATGCCAATTATTGATTACAAGGGCAAACATTTAAGAAAGACTATTTAAAGCAAGACTATCACAATTAGAGATCCCTTTATAAGACACCCTAACTTACGGAAAGACTGTATGGTCATTGCAAGGTACACAAGACGGATTAGATTTGTAAATGGGAAGAATCAAGGGCCAGTGGTGCCTATTGATCCTGGATTCTTGTATCAGATACCTGTGGTCTCCCCTTTGCTTCTCTTAATCCTCAGATGCTGATGTTACAGGAGTCCTGGATATCAAATCTATCCTAGTGATCTGCCATTGTTCTGATGTCATGAAGAAACTTTCTGGCTTAGGCTCGAGGCAAGTTAGTGCTCAGGAGGCCCTGAAAACCTGAATGCCAACACCGAAAAGCAACCTATGCAGAAGTGAACCTCTGTGCATCAAAACTTCAACGTTAAGGCTTATTTGTGTGGCAGGCCCAGGAACTGTACACCGGCGTACTTCAATGGTGCACCCGAGCTACTCAGATTCTGGAAACCAGATGTGCCATTCTAACGCTTCAAAATCCTGCAGTTGCCGTTCAGATGGTGCTTGCCCAAGGAGGACAGAAGGATAGCAGGAAGGCAGTTATTTGCCTGGCTCCCTGAGCCAAGTATGACAACAGCACCCAGTGCTGCATAGGCCAGGGAGTGGCATGCCTTTAGAGCTTTGCGAATAGGGAATTATCTCAGAGATGCTATCTTTCAGCATCTAATATTGCAGGTATCATCCATGGGTGTACGCTCTCAGATTACAAGAGTCCCTTTGTGTGCCCCTTGTTACCAGCTTGAAATGTGAGAGTTCTTTCATCATAGCCCATTGCCTCATAATGGAGAGAGAGTGAGCAAGATGTGACTTGCTTCTAGTCTCATGATATTGACAACATCTCTCTTTACCAGCCTGTATGGATGCATGCGGTAACTCTCCAGACCCAGAATTTGTGCTCTTTTGGGGATCAGCAGCTATGGGATGGGATGCTTTGCGTCTTAACTGCTGTAGGATTTCTGTGTGATGATTACATGAGGCTTCCCTTTCCTAAAATTACCCGTATTCTAATGGATAAATGTCAAATTCCATATGGAAACAGGGAAGGCTTACCTCAAGAGTCATCACCAAACCAAAGCCACTTGCCCATACCTCAACGGCTGTGTGACCAATCATTTGGTGGCTGTGTCGCAAGCCAAGGCCACAAGGAGAAACTACAGTGTCATTCACTGCAGGGGGTTGGAATAGGGTCCCTTCTAACCCTCCAGTTCTGTGATTCATGCACAACCTTTAGTACATATGTACAGTGGTACCTTGGTTCTCAAACTTAATCCGCTCTGGAAGTCTGTTCTAAAACCAAAGCGTTTCTAAATCAAGGCGTGCTTTCCCATAGAAAGCAATGCAAAACGGATTAATCTGTTCCAGACTTTTAAAAACAACCCCTAAAACAGCAATTTAACATGAATCTTACTATCTAACGAGACCACTGATCCATAAAATGAAAGCAAAAAACAATGTACTGCAGTCATGCAATCAATCAATCAATCAATCAATCTGTAGCTGAACTGGGTTCCACATAGTCACAAAAACAAAAAAAAGAGCGCCACAATAACAAAAACGCAAAATAAATAGCAAAAACAGATAGACCTCAGCGTAACACTCAAAACAGAAGTGTGGCACTCAAATTGGAAGCGTAACACTCAAAATGGAGTATGTTCGGCTTCCGAAAAAAGTTTGCAAACCAGAACACTTACTTCTGGGTTTGCAATGTTTGGGTTCGAAGTTGTTTGAGCACAAAGGTGTTTGAGAACCAAGGTACCACTGTACTACATATCTTGCTGTGGTGTGGCTTTGTCTCTAGGCTACTGAGTTTTCAGGTAGACAGTAGTGCAGAACAGACACAAAAGCCAAGACATGAGTTCAGACATCACTGTACCACAGGCCCTTATCAATGTTGGCCCCTTATTCCCACCCAGGGATGCCACCAACCCTCTGCTAAGTGTGACATTTGTTGCACCTGCGCTGCAATATGGATTTGCATGCCAAAGACCACTGCAATCTAGAAGAGGCCAAGGACTCGAGTTTGATTTTAAAAGCAGTTTAAGTTTATTCAACTCTGCCTGCATTACTCAGGTTATTTTCCATTTCCAATTCACTCCTTGCAAAAAAAGATTTCTGCAAAACCCAAAGACTTTACCCAGACCGCTGCAAGCAAAATGAGCAAGTTCATGAAGAAAAACTGTATTTGCATAAATTATAGTGATTTGCATAACTCACTGCATGTCTGAATTGACCGGGCACAAAAAATGTCTCCCATCTACAAGAAAAGGCAGCCCCATGTGTCAGTTACGACCAGCTATATATATTCAATTTTAATTTGATTGTCTGTAGTTGAGTATGTTTGGTGTGAGATGTACCTTTTTTGAATATGACCAAAGTGAGCAGCAAGGAAAAAAAATCTGAACAAAATTAAATGAATCAACGCATGCTTATGAGCTTATATAAATGGCCACGAGATAGTTGCTCAGAGAGGCTGGCAATTAAGGACTCTCCTTTCATGCATTACAAAAGAAAACTAATTATCAGTTACTCTGCGCTGGAAAGACAGCGAAGGTCTGAAAAATACAAACCCGGTAATTTTTATTAAACGTCTAAGCATTCTCAGACAACATTATTGCAAGCGACCCATTGGGTGGCCATTTTTTACCTGTCATTCAAGCAGTCTAGGCATTAACACAGCTGGCTTCCCTTCCTCAAGCAGAGCAAATGAAGAGGCACAGTAAAGAGTTTTACCCAGGCAACGTCTATAGTGATGAGACCGACAAACCTCAGGGCATCTTAAATGCAAAAGGAGGAAACAATCAGTGCATTGTGACAATCAATAGAGGGCTCATGACAACTTAAGGCAACCCAGTACTTCCCGCTACCATCCACTCCAGAGGTTTGACTTCTTCCTTCTTAGTAGTAAAGGTAAAGGTACCCCTGCCCGTACGGGCCAGTCTTGACAGACTCTGGGGTTGTGCGCTCATCTCACTCTAGAGGCCAGGAGCCAGCACTGTCCGCAGACACTTCCAGGTCATGTGGCCAGCGTGACAAGCTGCATCTGGCGAGCCAGCACAGCACACGGAAACACCGTTTACCTTCCCGCTAGAAAGCAGTCCCTATTTATCTACTTGCACTTAATTGTGCTTTCGAACTGCTAGGTGGGCAGGAGCTGGGACCGAACGACGGGAGCTCACCCCGCTACGGGGATTCGAACCGCCGACCATGCGATCGGCAAGTCCTAGGCACTGAGGTTTTACCCACAGCGCCACCCGCGTCCCTTCTTAGTAGTAGTAGTAGTAGTAGTAGTAGTAATATTGTGCGCTGTCATCATCATAATAATAAATAATAATAATAATAATTTATTATTTATACCCCGCCCATCTGGCTGGCTTTCCCCAGCCACTCTGGGCGGCTTCCAACTGAATATTAAAAACAATACAGCATTAGACATTAAAAACTTCCCTAGAAGAGGGCTGCCTTCAGTTGTCTTTTAAAAGTAAAATAGTTGTTTATTGCCTTGACATCTGCTGGGAGGGCGTTCCACAGGGCAGGCGCCACTACCGAGAAGGCCCTCTGCCTGGTTCCCTGTAACCTCACTTCTCGCAATGAGGGAACCACCAGAAGGCCCTCGGCGCTGGATCTCAGTGTCCGGGCTGAACGATGGGGGTGGAGACGCTCCTTCAGGTATACAGGACCGAGGCCGTTTAGGGACCACATCTTAATTAATAAAATTAAGATGTGGTCCCAAAGTATCCACCCAGAGAAGGATACCACGTGCATCTCCACATGACCTCCACCATGAGCTTTGCCTCTCTCCCATCATCATCATCATCATCATCATCATCATCATCATCATCATAATGTCAGTCTTATCAGTCTTATCTAGATGCGGTTTTCTGCGTTGGATAAAGTGGGATCATTCAATTGCTTCCAATCCAGTAAAGTTACCAACTGTTGAAGGAAGCCCAATGCGCCAGTGCAAGGACTTGCTGTTCTCGAGACATTGCCTCCTTCCAACAGGAAAAAGACCACCTCCCAGGCCAATAATTCATGCAGTGACACAAACAGACGGACTCTTCTGGAGGCAGTGAATTGCTAGTTTAAAATTATTTTGGGGTGTAGAGTAGAAATGTGGCTTTTATTCCAATGCAAAAAACAACAACGATGAGCCTCAGCTATTGGAAGTATGTGAAACCGTGTCTCAGTATCTCTGTGTGGAAACACAGAGAACTCAAAAAAGTAAACAGGCCGTAAAAAGCCCCAGAGGCAAATTCTGGAAGTGGTGAATGTGTGTACTTTGAAGATGGGCAATTGCAATTCTTCCAAAGCTTTAGTCCAGCAATGCTGATGTTCATTCCACCAAATTAAAAGAGAAGGGGGCCTGTGTCAAAAGCTAAGATTGCAGTAGAAAGACAAACACGTGTTTGACTTTTACACACACATATATAAGCTACACTGTAAGAGGATAAGCATTGTGGGCACTTACCAGCCTCTTAAGGATTATTTGCTACAGATAACATCTAGCAAAAAAAGCAGCCAGTGATACTGTGAATAACTTAAGTGATCAATCCAATTTGTCCAAATTCACTGTGAAATATGCATAAAACCCAGTTCTGGCAAAAGAGATACTCAGCAAACCAAAATAGCTTCCTTTTTCAGATGCAGGGCTTCACACAATAAGGGAAGATGGCTGCTTGTTCCACCAACCGGAATGCTGTTAGCAAATGCACCTACTGAATAAATTCTCTGGGCATTTGTTGGCCGATATAAACATTTTCAGAAGCTGCAGTTCCTTCATTTTGAAAGAGGAGGATCTATTTCCCCTGTCAGAGCTGCCTTTAACCTCCTTTCTGCACAGCATTCAAACAAACAGCGAGGCTGGTTTTCAATATCTTACACTGAGAAGTAAGCATAATGTGGGCGTTTGTCTACCCCTTTAAAGCTAGAAAAAATTATGAGTGGAAAAAGCTGCATTTGCAGCCTGGCACTCGCCAAAGCAAGCCTCAAGAGGAGAGGCCGAATCGAAACATTCCAGGCAAAAATCCTCTCCGCCGTGGCTGAGCCTTCCTGCACAGGAGTGCCAGCAATTCTTTCCTGTATTCAGTTTTCAATCTGCGGGAGTGCCAGATCGAACCATTTCATCCACACAAGTAAAATATTCTACCTTGCTTACTAAACAGAAGGATGACTCCAACTGCATATAGGCCTATGCGGGCAAAAGTCACAGTTACCCTAAGCACAACTTCAAAGGAACTTGGGAGGAGGAGGAGGAGACGATGACAGATGTTTAGTGGTTCTATTTTCCATAAGGAAATATTATTATATTTGCATACCACCCTTCATCCAAAGATCACAGGGCGGTCTGCAACGTAAGAATGCAAAATGAGAACACAAATGCATTTTTTAAAGTAAATAAAAATACAGTGGACGCTCGGGTTGCGAACGTGAGATCCGTGTGGGATGCACGTTCGCAACCCGTATCTGTGTATGTTGCAATTCAGCGCTTCTGTGCATGCGCAAAGCGGAATTCAGCGTTTCTGCGCATGCGCAACCACTGAAAACGGAAGTAACCCGTTCCGGTACTTCTGGGTTTTGGCAGTCCGTAACCCAAAAAAACACAACCTGAAGCGTCTGTAACCCGAGGTATGACTGTAAATGCACCAGATGAGAATTGGACAGTGGTAAGGTGACTCAAGTAATGTAATATTGCTAATGCTTGCTTATGCATTGTAAAGAGTGTTATGTACTGAGTTGAATAGGATCCAAGATGCAGCAGTTGATTGGTCCTAGAACAATAGGACCCAGAATGCAGCAGTCTGATTGGTCCACAGGAGCCACCCAATCCAGCTCCAGGTGGAAGTGAATCCGCAACCTGATTGGCCTACAGAAGAATCCCGGAATTAGCCAATCACGTGGGGCCCATCGTGTACATAAGGTATATAAAGCAGACATTCTGGGGGAACTCCCATTCCTCCTCACCGCTATGAGCTGAATAAAGAGCATGAAATCCACTCTTGACTCTGAGTATATTTCAAGAGGTTAAGCCACAAGTGCATGGCCTTGAAGCCTAAACAAAGGTGGTGCAGGGAGTGCGGAAGGTAGGTAGGAGGTGGTCTTGACCCTTGCTGAAAAATACAGGGGGGTCAAATAGCATCTCAAGCAAAATCTAGCAGGCCCGGGGGCAGTGAGTGCAACAGGGAGAGAGCAATACTACAGGAGATTCCAGAAAATGCCACTCGCAGAGAGACTATCCCCTGTAGACCGAGTCCTATAGAACCACTTGTGCGTGTTCTTTTGCACTGCCCCTTGTATCAGATAATTCGATCTAAATTCATTCATCAGTTGGTTGTTAGCAGGGAGTGCCAGTAAGACGAATTGCAAGGTAGCCTTCCTAATGTTTACTTGGGACAAGGATAAGATGGCGATAGCAGCCAGGTTTCTGCAACACGCCATGGGGATTCGTGAATGTTATACAACAGTATTTTCATCATTAGATGCAGACTTTGCCGAGCGATTTTATTCTACTGAACCTTTCGGAATCTTGTCTATATGCCAATAAAGGTTTGAGATTTGAGTCTGAGATTGTAAACCACCCTCTGCTAGCTGGGAGAGACTGAAACAGGGAATAGGGACAGGGAGATTTGGCTCAGAGGACATGCATCCTGCAATGTGGGTCAACTGGGGCCAATCTCCCCTTTCTGAGTGAAATTTTCATAGATCCTAGTCTGGCTATTTTCTGTTTTGAGCGACGTTATTTTACAAGCAAGCTTCGTTGTGGGTTCCTACTATTGCCTTGTTTTTCCCCAGTTGGCTGCACATATTTCCATGGGCTTAAGAATATCAACCGCGTTCACTGGCAAGCATTTCATATTTAGTTCTGGCAATGTATGGAGCCCACGAAGCAGACACAGAGAAAGTTAATCTCAAATATAAAAACTTCTCAACTTGCTCTACTGAACTGCCATATTTAATTCTCAGGTATATTTGTCAAGAGTGCCAGGGTGGAAAACCATTATTATTTTCTCTCTCTCAATAACTGTAAGCATTCCTCTTGCCAATAACTTCTGGAATAGCACCCCTTCCAGTCCCTGATTTTTATCTTGCACAATAATAATAATAATAATAATAATAATAATAATTTCTTATTTATACCCCGCCCATCTGGCTGAGTTTCCCCAGCCACTCTGGGCGGCTCCCAATCAAATGTTAAAAACAGTACAGCGTTACATATTAAAAACTTCCCTGAACAGGGCTGCCTTAAGATGTCTTCTGAATGTCAGGTAGAGAGTCACCACAGTGGCCCCTGATTAATTTGGGCTTCCAATTCTGACAACCAGCATAGAATCCAGCACTCTGTGCCCAATGGCAAGGTGGTCTAAACCACTGAGCCTAGGGCTTGCCAATCGGAGGTTGGTGGTTCGAATCCCTGCGACGGAGTGAGCTCCCGTTGCTCGGTCCCTGCTTCTGCCAACCTAACAATTCGAAAGCACACTAGTGCAAGTAGATAAATAGGTACTGCTGTGGAGGGAAGGTAAACGGCATTTCCATGCGCTGCTCTGGTTTTGGTGTTCTGTTGCGCCAGAAGCGGCTTAGTCGTGCTGACAACATGACCCAGAAAACTGTCTGCAGACAAACACCGGCTCCCTTGACCTGTAAAGCGAGATGAGTGCCGCAACCCCAGAGTCGTCTGCAACTGGACTTAACAGTCAGGAATCCTTTACCTTTTTAAAAAAGTCTTTATAGGCAAGTCCGGAATGTATTTAGGGGCGTGCTTGAAGAGCACTCTGCTCCA